CCGAAGTCACGCAGGAAGTTCTGCTCAGGTTTGATTATTTTTAGCAATCTAAACAATAAAGAGAAAAGAAAAGTTGAGATTTATTTCATAAACAAATTTACTTAGGTGGATGCATCTCTCTCTCTCTCTCTCTCTCTATCAATCTATGTCTCTCATACACACATGTGTGTGTTAGTGTGTGCATGTGTAAGAGAGACACACACATATGTATACACACACACACACACACACACACACACACACACACACACACACACACACACACACATATATATATATATATATATATATATATATATATATATATATATATATATATAAATTAGTTAATAAAAAAATCAAATAAAACGTATTAAACTTTGAACGCTCTTCATTGTTAAATTTCTACCGTCTTCTCCTCCCTCTTCAACTATACTTTACTGCACTCCGTCTTCTCCTCCCTTCTGCTTCACATTATCTCCCTTCCCTTCTTTAACACTTACCCCCCCCCCCAGGTCATATTTCTCGCCGGAGGGGTTGGAGTATAACCTCTGCCGCGTCCCGATCGGTGGGAGTGACTTCTCCACTCGCCCTTACTCCTACGACGATGTGGAGGGCGATGTGGAACTCCTCCACTTTAACTTGACTCTTGAGGATTACCGATACAAGGTGGAGTTGAGCTATAAGGCTGGTGGTCATTGAGTTGCCGTTTATTTTTTTTTCAGTTTGGTCTAATGTTGTTTTGAATCGTATTTGCAGCTGTTTATTTTCCTTGTCTGTTTCTTCAATTTCTTCGTTTTAGAAACTCTGTAGTTTATTTTCGCTGCATATTATTGTTCTCTTTGTGTCCCTTTTCTCCTTCCTAGAATAAGAAATATTGAAACTTATTTATAGGAAAATAGTGGCATTACTAAAACTATTGATTCATAATGGATAGTTGCGTGATCGGCCATGCGAAGCTATTCTGAATATCTACCTCATAATGCATAAATAACTCATGCTATGTTACATTATCTCTTAATTTTTTGTCTTCTTTTCTTTTACACTGTAGCTACCTTACATCCGTCGCGCTAAAGAACTGAGCGAGAAGGAATTTATGCTCTTTGGTTCCCCCTGGTCTCCGCCATCTTGGATGAAAGAAAACGGACACTTCAATGGCTCGGGGGGAATTCTGAAAGAAATGTGGCAGCCTTGGGCCAATTATTTCGTAAAGTGAGACTTCATCTGCTTCTTTTGTTTCGATAGTGTTATTGAATATTACTAGTCTATATGTTTGTTTTTATAGGCTCTTATTCTTAAATGTAATAGATCCCTGTCTTTTTAATTCTGAAGATTTGTCAAGCACTACGAGGCAGAGGGGGCGCCGCTATGGGGCTTGACAACCCAGAACGAACCGCTAACAGGTTTTGAGGAAGTAAGTGAAGATTTGCAACCTCTGCTTAGAGTTTCAGTAATGTCGCAATTATAATTACATGAACTTAAAAACACTTCACAGGGAAAAGTTCTCTTTGAGAATCAATTTGTTCGTCTTGAAATTGCCGATTCCTAACTAGGTAGTATACTAGGGTACATATTAACAACTAACAAACTGTTATTTTCTTAATCTTTCTTAATCACTACTCCATGCACAGGATTATCCATGGAACACATGCGCTTGGACTGCCGAGGATCAGAGGGACTGGATCAAGCAGAGTCTCGGACCTACGCTAGAGGAGGCAGGACTCGGGAGGTTGAAGCTAATGGTGCCCGATCACAGCCGCGATGCCCTGCCCTGGTATCCTGCCACGGTGAGTGTGAGGATGGTTCTTCTTGGTAGTGTGTTGGTACATTTTATGGCGGGTTTTCTGGTAAAGGAATTATTTTGTTATTTCTTTTGCTATTCGTGTGTCTCTGTCACTAATTGTCTGTCTGTTTTTTTCTCTTTCTCTTTCGCTTCTCCTCCCTTCTCTCTCTCTCTCTCTTTCGCTTCTCCTCTCTCTCTCTTTCGCCCCAAGTTCCCTGTCCCTCACCTATTTCCTCATTCTATCCCTTAACCTCTGTTTAACCCTTTCTCTCACCTTTTCCTTACCCCTCTCCTTCTCTCTCCTCTCCCTCACCCCTTCTCCCTTCCCCCTCCCCTTTCCCCCTCCCCCTCTCCATTACCTCCCCTTTCCCCTTACCCTCACCCTCTCCCTTTCCCTCATCCTTTCCCTCTCCCTCACCCTCTATCTCACACTCTCCCTCTCCCTCTCCCTCGCCCTCTCCCTCACCCCCCTCTCATTACCTCCCCTTTCCCCTCCCCCTCACCCTCACCTCTCTCTCCTCCCCCTCTCCATTCCCCCTCTCCCTTCCCCCTCCCCCTCTCCATTACCTCCCCTTTCCCCTCACCCTCACCTTCTCCCTCACCCCCCTCTCATTACCTCCCCTTTCCCCTCCCCCTCACCTCTCTCTCCTCCCCCTCTCCATTCCCCCTCCCCCTTCCCCCTCCCCCTCTCCATTACCTCCCCTTTCCCCTCATCCTCACCCTCACCCTCACCCTCGCCCTCTCCCTCACCCTCTCCCTCTCCCCCCAGATCCTCGAGGACTCCGCCGCCGCCCGGTACGTCGACGGCATCGCAATCCACTGGTACCGGGATGACGTCATCGGCCCGAGCGTGATGGACGAGACTCAAGCTCTTTTCCCGAACCGCTTCCTCCTCTACACCGAGGCTTGCGACGGTGAGCTGCTTGTGATGTGGCTGGGGAGGCGGTTGTGAGGTGGTTATGTGGTAGGGGAAGGGGTTGGGGAAGTGGTTGTGGTGTGGTTATGTGGTAGGGGAAGGGGTTGGGGAAGTGGTTGTGGTGTGGTTATGTGGTAGGGGAAGGGGTTGGGGAAGTGGTTGTGGTGTGGTTATGTGGTAGGGGAAGGGGTTGGGGAAGTGGTTGTGATGTGGTTATGTGGTAGGGGGAGTGGTTGGAAAAGTGGTTTTGATGAGGTTGGGGAAACGGTTGTGATGGGGTTATGTGGTAGGGGGAGTGGTTGGGGGAAGCGACTGTGATGTTATGTGGTTGGGGGAGTGGTTGGAAAAGTGGTTTTGATGAGGTTGGGGGAAACGGTTGTGATGTGGTTATGTGGTAGGGGTGGTGGTTGGAAAAGTGGTTTTGATGAGGTATGGGAAGCGGTTGTGATGTGGTTATGTGGTAGGGGGAGTGGTTGGGGGAAGCGGTTGTGATGTGGTTATGTGGTAGGGGGAGTGGTTGGGGGAAGCGACTGTGATGTTATGTGGTTGGGGGAGTGGTTGGAAAAGTGGTTTTGATGAGGTATGGGAAACGGTTGTGATGTGGTTATGTAGTAGGGGGAGTGGTTGGAGAAGTAGTTTTGATGTGGTTGGGGGATGCGGTTGTGATGTGGTCGGGTGATGTGGTGAGGCTGTTTTGTGATATTTTATGATGTGGATGAGGATGTGATTGTGATATATTATGACGCGGTGGTGATGTTTTGTGATGTGTCTGTAATATGGTTGCGGATCTGGTTGTCAAGTTTAGAGATATAGTTGGTGACTGAAAATAACTTATGATGTGGTTGTGATGTTTTGTGGCATGGCGTGGTTGATGTGTTAATTGATAATGTGGTTAGCGATATTTTGTGATCTGGCTGTGAGGCTATAATGATTAATGGTGTGATCAGTTATTAATAATGGTTGAGATGCTGTTTATAATGAGGCATAAGCGGTGTTTTGTAATGTATCTTGTGTTAATGTGTTAGCGACGATAATTAGCCATTTTGGGATGAGGCCTTCTTGATACTTTTTTTTATATATTTTTATGATTCATTGAGAATAATAATGAAAAAAATGCGATACAGTTCGTAATTCTTGAGATGAGACCTTCTTGACAATTTATTATATATATATATTCTTAATGCTTCACCAGGAAAAAAAATATATATATACAATTATATATACACGCACACACGCACACACACACACACACACACACACACACACACACACACACACACACACACACACACACACACACACACACACACACACACACACACACACACACACACACAACACACACATGCACACATATTTATATACATAATACACACACATGCATATATATATATACGTATATACACACACCTACATTTGCGATGCGTCTGAAACCGACTACTATCGATGAGACTCTGTGACTTCTGTATGCTGAGTTGCGATCCTCTGCGACGCCTTCATCAAATAATCAGTTCCAATTCTTCACAGGGAGCTACGCACCTCCGGGGAAGAAGGTCGTGCTCGGGGACTGGTCGCGGGGGGAGCATTATGCTCTTAACATCATTGAGGTTAAGTGTTGTTTTTTTTCGCTTTGTTGTTTTCTCGTTTTCGTTTTGTTTGTTAGATGTTTGTATTGTTTTATAGTTACGTTCGTCTGTTCTTATACGGAGATCTTTCGTTTCTCTACTTCTGTGTGCGTGTCTGTTTTTGTGTCTGTCTGTGCTTATGTGACTGTCCGTCTGTCTGTCTGTCTCTGTCTGCCTGCCTTTCTATGTGTACTTACGTATGTGTGTCTGTCTATCTGAGGGTGTCTCTGTCTGTCTGTCTGTCTCTGTCTGCCTGCCTTTCTATGTGTACTTACGTATGTGTGTCTGTCTATCTGAGGGTGTCTCTGTCTGTCTGTATGTATGCATTTATGTCTATCCGTCTGTCGTCTATCTATCTGTGTGTTTGTCTCTGTCTCTGTTCTTATCTGTGTGTCTGTATGTCTGTATGTCTGTCTTTATCTCTACATTTGTCTCAGTATGTCTGTCTATCTGTCTGTCTGTCCCACTATCTTTCCCTCTCTATCATATTCCTCTCTACCTCTCCCTCCCTATCTTATTTTCTCCCCTATCTTTCATGTTCTTTTATCCTCCACCTTCTCTCCCCCCTCTTTGTCACTCATTTTATCTCCTCCCCTCCCGTACTTTCTGCCTTTCCCTCCCTCCTTTCTCCTCTCCCCCTCCCTCACTTTCTCCCCTCCCCTCTCCCTCCCTCACTTTCTCTCCTCTCCTCTCCCTCCCTAACTTTCTCCTCTCCCCTCTCCCCTCCCCTCTCCCTCCCTCACGTTCTCCCCTCCCCTCTCCCTCCCTCACCTTCTCCCCTCCCCTCTCCCTCCCTCACCTTCTCCCCTCCCCTCTCCCTCCCTCACCTTCTCCCCTCCCCTCTCCCTCCCTCACCTTCTCCCCTCCCCTCTCCCTCCCTCACCTTCTCCCCTCCCCTCTCCCTCCCTCACTCTCTCCTCTTCCCTCTCCCTCCCTCACCTTCTCCCCTCCCCTCTCCCTCCCCTCCCCTCTCCCTCCCTCCCTCCCCTCTCCCTCCCTCACCTTCTCCCCTCCCCTCTCCCTCCCCTCCTCCTCCCTCACTTTCTCCCCTCCCCTCTCCCTCCCTCACTCTCTCCTCTTTCACAGCTCCTTATGAATATTCCCGAAATTCTCTTCCAGGATCTGAACTACTGGTCGACTGGCTGGGTGGACTGGAACCTCGCGCTGGACACAGAAGGCGGGCCGAACTGGGCTTCCAACTTTGTCGATTCTCCTGTTATTATTGATAAGGTGAGGAGGGAGAAGGAGTGGGTGGGGGGGAGAGGGAGAGGGGGTGGGTGGGGGAGGGAGAAGGGGTGGGTAGGGGGGAGGGAGAGGGAGTGGGTGGGGGAGGGAGAGGGAGTGGGTGGGAGGAGGGAGAGGGAGTGGGTAGGGGGGAGGGAGAGGGAGTGGGTGGGGGAGGGAGAGGGAGTGGGTGGGAGGAGGGAGAAGGAGTGGGTGGGTGGGGGGTGAGGGGGTGGGTGGGAGGAGGGAGAAGGAGTGGGTGGGTGGGGGGTGAGGGGGTGGGTGGGAGGAAGGAGAAGAAGTGGGTGGGGGGAGGAAGAGGGAGGGAGGAGGGAAAGGGGGTGAGTGGGGGGAGGGAAAGGGAATGGGTAGGAGGAGGGAAAGAGTCGGAGGAAAAAGGAGTGGGAGGAAAAAAAAGAGAGGGGGGAGGTGAGAGTGTGGAAACAAGAGGGAGGGAGAAAGAGAAGAAAGAGAGAGGAAGAGGGAGATAAGATTAGAAATTGAGGTGGAAACGGGGATGAAAGTGCAATTGGAGTTGAAGATAAAGGAAGAGAAAGATACAGAGTCGAGAGACAGATGGAGAGCGAGGGAGAGAAAGAGAGTTGGAGAGCGTGTGTGTGTGTCGCCAATATAACGCTAAAAGTGGCCACACTGTCTTGCAGTCACTCTCTCACTCAAACAAACACACATCAAAGAGCTATAAACGCAGCGAACCTCACTTAATCGCCCCCCCCCCCCCCCCGTACCCCACTCGATATCCCCCCCCCCCCCCCACTCACACCCTCTTTCACCCTCAGGAAAGCGGAGAATTCTACAAGCAGCCGATGTTCTACGTTCTCGGCCACTTCAGCAAGGTCCTTGTACCCGGTTCTCGACGCATCTACGCCTCTGTCAGCAGCCCGTCAGACACGGTCAGCTTAACGGCCGTCCACAACTCTGCTGACAACACCTCGGCGGTTGTCATTCTGAATTTGTAAGATTTTATTATTTTTCTATTTTTATGAACCTTGTTTTTTTTTGTTGCGTATTTTTTTGGTTATATTTCTATCGATTGATTTATTATTTGCATAGTTATCTACCGTTTCATCTACTTGACACATATATCCGCTCATTCCTTTTTCTTCATATTACGTCTATTAATAAGTTTGTTTTTTAATGTCATTATCATTGCAATCTCAAATACTCCCTATACACAGTGCTCTGAAAACCCTACAGTTTGTTCGTTTAAGAAAAATATCCAAACAAGAAACGGATGATCACTTCCAGCACGCAAACAAATAAACAAAATCCTCACCCAAATATCCAGCACCCTAAAAAAAAAAAAAAAAATCCTGTCGAACAGCGCCCTCTTTCCCACAGCGGAGACACGGCAGTGGGCGTGACCGTGGGCGTGGGCGGCGGGACACAGTTCATTAATCTGGACATGCCCGCCAAAGCAATTACGTCACTCCTCTTTTCCACGCCCGAGGTCGGTGGGGATTCGGAAACAAACAACGAACTCTTTTAGGAGGATTTGATTACTGCTGTTGTAACCATTATCGTTATAGTTACTGTCGTTATTACTGTTATTTGTTATTTTTATTATGATAGTCGTAAAAGCTACGGATTCGTGTAAGTGAAAATGGCGACTCTGAGCCAAACCATGTTGTCTTAGCGTTTATCCTAGAGGTAAGTTGCGACGCCAAGCCATGTACTGAGGCGCGCTAATTCCTTTGAAGGATAGCAAGTGACCTGACCTTCGGCCCGTTGAGGCAATGGCCTAGCAGAAAGCGTTCACTCGCCAGCATGTGAGTACCTCCGATACCCTTCTGACACTATCTTCACTTTTGCAAGCCATAGCCAACGTGATTTCATCCGTACCGAGGGGATAGAGGCAGAAGCGAAGTAAGTCACTGGACTCCATACTAGCTAGTATAGAGACCAGTAGTGGCATTTGTTGGTTTGTTTTGTTTTTGTTGTTTTCTGTTTACTAA